TCCCTATTGATCTTGTGCATAATCTTGACCTCTACTAAAATGCATATTAAGATTTCACTTACTGCTAACCTGCTGCTTCCCTCTTACTGTTTTACTGAGTTGCAGACTGTACATTGCAAATGATTGTACTTCACCTGATGTAACAGATTTGTCATCAGTAGGGCTAACTGCTATAATACTTTGTTTTGCTGAATGGGAAGAATGTTGCCACAACTTTGTGTAGTCACTCTCTTGCTAGCTTGTGAAAATCCTCTTTGACTGCTTTTTGTCACTCACTCTTTACACCCTTGCACCTCTCCAGTAAACACTGAACGTTGCGATGAGGCAAATACTGGGTGAAACTCTCTTAAGGAAGAGCTGGAGACCATCTGCTGCTCTCTGAAGGCTAGTGGAGCAATTTGCAGTGGATTTTTGCTCTGTATTTTTCCAAATTCTGAGACTGTGCCTCACTCGATTAATCCTACCTGCATGTTAGTGAGTTGAATTTCTTTTCTGATACAAAGCAAACATGAAGCTGTAAATTGTGCTCGAAGAGGAAATCTGACATTCCAGTCTCAACTGTTTTGTGTCTGGTTATGTAATAAAATTAAGGGCGGTTAACTCTGATGGCTTTTCTTTTACAAGCTTTCCAGACCAATGCCTTTAACTTCATCCTGTATCCCCCTTGAGGGCTCTAGTTCAAAGCTAAGGGTACACACAGTGCTTAGCACTTCCATTATTCAACCTTGTTTGGAGGGTAGGCTCAAGGTAAAGGGGTGCATGTTTGCAGCCCAACACCCTTGAATGACAGTCTGAATTCCTCTTTGGGCATCACTGGGTTCTCTCCTGAGGGAGTCATCAGCTTGGAAGCACTCTGAGCACCTGATACTTAATTTAAGGGCATCCTGTCAAGAGAAGGTGCAGCCAGTGGGACCTGGGTGCTCTTTTAGAGTGGTCCTAGCCCAGGGTGTGATGTGTGCTCAGTGCTCTAGAAGGGTGGTATGTGAGCACAGCAACAGGGAGGGTGGAAATGCTGAGTTACTGAAAACATTTCCTTCAAGAACAAGTAGTCACTAAAGGAGTTAGATTCCCTTTTGTTTTGAACAAAACCTTTTCTGGAGAAATGACTTGGGATAGCGTGAGGAAGAATTGTGCAGTTACCTCTTCTTGGTTCAAAGTGATTTGATGCGTTTACTCTGCAAAGATCCTGTTCTTAACATGAACTTTGTGCTGCCACCTTCTCTGCTAGTGGCTAGGATTGATCTGATGTGGTATAAGAAGCTGAAGTAGTCTAGTCAGTGCAGAAATTTTCTTTAGGCTTTGGACTTTGTGGGAAGGTCCAAACTTGGCTCAGAGTTGAGGAGTTTGAGAACTGGCATGGAAGGTCTCCTGGCTTCTTCTGAGAGCTGTTTGTCTTGCCATGGACTGGCCTGCTTAGGATGCAGGGAGCTCTAGCTCCAACCAGAACCACTGTTGCTGGTGGCTCCTGAAATTGTGCAGGGAAGGCTTGGAGGAATCCTGTAGGCTGTCTAAAATTCAGAGAAGTTCTGATAGGCACCACTCCACCATGCTGTCCTGATGTGGAGGCACCTGAGTTAAATGTAACTTCACCTGGACTGCTTGAGGTTGTAATTTAGATAACTCTAAATCATCTCAAAATGTGTTGGGAATATTAAAAAAGGGGTCCTGCCTCTTGCCAGTGTGGAATAAGGGGCTTGAGCTCAAAATGATGACTAGGAAGCTGCTTGTGGAAGAAAAACATGTGCTATACTTACTTCACTTATATACTTCACTGTTCTTAGGGTAATTTTCCTAACTTTGGAAAAATAACACTAAAAACTGTTGCTTGCTATCCTGTGTCAGTAGCATAATAAATCTTAGTTGAAGATCTCTGCTGTTATTTAAATTAGATCCATCAATGGAGTAGACAGGTGTATTTTCTGCTATTTGACCTGTTAATTATGGGGAGAAGAGGGGCCAGAATTAACACACAAAAGGGAATTGCTGCTGAGCACACAAACAGATAATCTGGTTAAATAAACTCACTGGGGAGCCTGCCTCAATTTCACTTGTTTTCCAGTTGAACGAGGTGCTTTCAAACTGCTTCTGTGCCTAGGTGAGCTAAGGAAGAAGTCAGGAATCACTCCAGAGCTCGCTCTTGCCACACAGGGCAAGAAAACTTGGATTGTAGGAAAGTTTTAAAGCGCTGTGATTGTGTAAGTTTAAAACTGCAACGAGTGTCTGCTGAGGCTGCTCCATACTTTATCGAAATGACTTGCGTGCCTGAGCACCGTCAGAATTTGGTAGGAGAAGGAGTTATTTTCCCTTCGCACCATGGCTGCTCCTCAGTGCTTTGGCCGGTTTAGAAGCAGCAGAACAACTGCTGCATCTCGAGATCCCCAGCTTGGCTGCTGAATCACTTCTAATGACCCCACAGGAGGTGGAAATGCTGTGACTTGTGCTGAGAGCTCTCTGCACTGGACACAGCAGGGTGCTTAGGATTAGTAGTCTGTGCCTTTTCTTTAAGCAGGTCACTCACCAAAAGCAATTTGATGGACTTGGAGAGCTGTACAGTGGGTATTTTGACTTCAGTGCTTTGTTTTTTGCATGCTGGACGGTTCCAACAGTTGTGGCCGTGATGCCTTTGTTGGGCGTTTGGCTGATTCTTACCTGTGCTTGGTGCTGAGTTTCCATTCCAAGCACAAAGGTGGAGTTTGCTTAGAGCTTCTGATCTGTGTAGAAGAAAATATTAATGATTAGAGCACTTAGGGAGGCTATTTTCCTTCATAAAATGTTAAGAAAAAGAAAGCAGTATTAAAGGTAGGGGCCTGAATTTGTTGAATAAGGAAAAACAGGTAATTAAGAGGTGAAAACTGACTATCCTTTAAGATACAATGTTCTCTTGACTTTTAGACTCTGAGTGATACTGCAGATCTGGTGATACTGCAGATAATTCCATTTGAATGGTGATTATCAGAATGTTTCCATGAAAAAAATAGTATCTCCAGGGCTGCACTGTTGCAGATATTAACAGTGATTCTTATTAAAATGGTCAGATAATGTGCAGTAGTGTTGTCTGTCAGGCTTTGTAGGCTATAAACAGCACCGGACCTTTATGCAACCCAGAAGTTCCATTCATTTACTCTTACTCCTGGTTCCTGTTAAGTGCAATTCACTTTGTAAATATTTACATCACTTGATTTTTGTGCATGGTTATTATGTATTGTGGATATAAAGATTGCCAAATCATACTGTGTGTGCAACGTTCTGTTTCAAACCCGATGGTAGAATAAGGTGGGAAGGTAACACAAGCTCTTCCCATTGCCTCAGTGCGATTTTGTTATATTTCTGTGTGTGTATATATGTATATATATGTATTTTTTTTCCTGCCCTTCACGATGCAAACGCTCTCCATCCAGGTGGTCTTTGGAAGCCCCCCTGCTCTGTAGCCCCTGGTTTGGCAATGGAAGCGCGTGGCCGTGGGTCTGCTCCCAGGGAATGAGCACATTCCTGCAAGGATGGGAGCTGGGATTGCTGCTCCCAGGTCTCCTATGGAGGCCTGGAGCAACGTGGCCTCATTCCAAGTCCTTCCAGAGCCCCTGCTTAGAGCAAGGTTGCTCTGAAGGCAACCGAAGGTTGTGCACGAAGGGGCAGGGATGAGTTTCAAAGACTGTGGATGATTCCCGGAGCTGGGGAAAGATCCCAAGCACCGGGAATCCCCTTGGCCGCAGGGACCTCTC